TTTTATTAATCACGAATACAAATAAATAATAAAGGAGAAGAAAGAATAAACCACAATTCTCCGGCCTCCACGGCGGCTCTTCCAAAGTTCCTAAGCTAGAAGAAAATTTTATTGTGTCTTGTATCTTGGTTCTTGGCCTCCCAAATAATTATTTTCATGCCCTATTTATAGATGTAGGAAACCCTAAATAAAATAATTGAGTCCAAACAAATTAGGAATCAAAACCCGAAAGGAATTGAATTCCTTTTTCTCCGCGTGTAGTTTCCAATTTTTGTGCGTGTAACTTCTTTTGATGTTGCTGCCTGATACGTGGACCAGCAGGTAAGTTTTTCTTTCCTTATTTGCATATAAATTATATTAACATTATATTAACTTATTTCCATTAAGCTGCCTGCTTGATTTCCTTCTTCAACTTTCCATCTTTAATTCGTTTTAGCTCCAAACATCTCCAATTTTCCATCAATTTAATCCTACAAATAAAATACACAATTTAGCACAATCCATAAAATTTATGCTCATAAAGGACAAATATAAATACTAAATGTGAGACAAATAATGATTAAAAATATGTATTTTGACCTCACATCAGTGGTGGTAATGGATCCTCGGGAGGTTTGACCTCTTCAACTGGTTCAACAATGGTGTTTTTATCGAGTGTCCAAATGAATTTGTTAAGTGGATTTTCGTATCCAAGAGGTGGTAATTTCACATGTGCAACAGATACCAAGTAAGTCCTGAAAGGAGCAAATTCTTTTTCAAAATATGTTATATCGGTACTAAAAATAGTGGCTTGAACTTGATTCTCCTGTAAAAAAATTTGTAGAAAGTTTGATTAGTTGTGTAAAATTTAAAAGTTATCTTATTATTTTTCATATTATTAAAGTAAAATTATAAAATGATGGATTATTTAGTTAACGCAATTAAAGTTAGGTTTTTAAAATCAATAATATATTAATAAAAATAAATACCTCTTCATCTTGCAGAACTAAGACTTGGTATTTTGTGATTTTATTTTTGTTGTCCCTTGGTCGACTTTTATCAACAACTTGGAATTTAAAGGTCCAATCTTTAGTATCGGGAGTGATCATATTGATGGTATATCTTTCCGCCATGTTGAACTATCTGCAATTAAAATACATTATAAGAGGATAAGCTAAAGGTAAATGTATAATGAAAGCAATATTATAATATACATAAACAAAAAAAATAAAATATATATATGAGATTTACCATTGCAAATTAAAGCACAAAGTTCAAGAAAAGGCCTTTTCAATAATTTCATTATAGACAACATTATATGTTGAATGATCATCATTTTCATCAATTATAGGTGGTCTAATTAATACTTTAACATTGTGAGAACTTGTTGCTCTTGATAAAGCAACATACAATTGTCCATGAGAGAAGACAGGTTCCCGTAAATATATACCAACAAAATCTAATGTCTGTCCTTGAGCTTTATTTATAGTCATGGCAAAACATAATCGTACAGGAAATTGTGTTCTCTTAAAAGGAAGAGGCAATTTTAGAAAGGTCCATGTCCTTCTAGAAATCCATTCTAATAGATAAGGAATAATTACTATTCTGCCCTTCAATCATATTAGATTTTCGAAATTGCCATTGGTCGTCATGGTCGTCTTCACCTTTCTATATAATAGAAATAGAATAGAAATATATATAGAAAAATATATATGCACACATATGTAACAAGAGTTTAGGGTATTATCATCATAGTTAAGCAACCCACTCTAGCAAACAAATTGATAGTAAACACGAATACCTAGTTTGAGCACAAAAGAGATGAACAAGTTTAAGGAAGATGGATACCCAACTTGAGCTTGAAAATGATTTGGGTAAAAAGTGTAAAAGAATCATATGCTTAATACGGTGATACCTGAGAAGATGAAGATATTTTGAGATTATGGAA